ACTTACATTATTTAACTGAGAAAATAATTAATTACTTAAAAAAATGTTGTTAAATTTTTGAGCAGGGGGTTATTATTATAAAATTTTCTGTGCATTCTCCATTCATCATGAAAAGTTAGTTCTTGCCTAGATCGATAGAGAAATATGTGGAGAATATTTGCGACGAGAAAATATGTAAAAATTTTTGTTCTTGTCTTCTGGTTATTGACTAATTAGTACTAATTAACGTTAATTTAGCCTACTCTACTAGCTTAAAGTCCCATTTGTAAAATAAGAACTCAACGAAAATTTTCNTGTTTCCAAAAAACATAGCAAAACAGTCTTCTTGGAATTAATGAAGTACCTAATACATAATGAAATTTTATTTCTGACTCTTCTTCGGAGTTTGAATAAGAAAGATCGTCCGACATCTGAAAATTCAGACATGCAGTGCAGGACATATACTTCGAAGTATCCTCTACAAACTGGGAACGCTAGAGAAAAATCTAAATGGGGGGACCCCCCCTTAATTTAATTCCTTTCTATCTTGCAGTTAATGAATGAGTGTGTATGAAAATGATAGTGTCGATCACATTTATCCAGCTAACCTTTTTAACTGCAATTGACTTTTCAGGATTTCTTCTATAGCTATTTCTTTAATAACTTTCGAACAATGCACTTCAAAGACTTACGATTTTCAGCATTTCATAGAGGAGATAAATAGCTGCAAGTTGATATAAAAATATCTCAGAAAATACCACCTACAGATGGTATAGCTTATTAGTTTTTGAAAAAGTAGGTCGTGGTTCCAGGATCTACCAGAGTGATCCCTGTGCTTCTCATATAGATATGATAGCCTAAAATGTCCTCTACAAAATGAGAACTAAGCGATCTCTTAAACTTTCGTGGTTTAGGTCTGGTATCGGATTTTTTTAAAGCCCCAGGATCCATATTTTCATAGGTGTGGTAATCTCGAAAATGAATGGAAACATGGATTATCCATCACTCTGAGTCTCATGGCAATGCTTGTTTTTCGTCAAAAATCCAAAAACCTAATGAGAACCTATATTAGATGAAATATCCCATTTTTCACGCAAAATTAGAAAATTCATAACTCAGTCAAAATCGATCCAGATTATGTCAAAATATCACTATATACTCTGTATTGTCTGCACTATATCATGGACTTCAATAGGGCTTCAAAAAGTAACTGATAATAGCTTGGTTTTTGACAAGGTTTTCTAGAAACCTTCTGACGTAAGACAGAATTTTTTACTATTTTTAAACACAGAATCCCATTGAACAGATAATACAAACTCAGCAAAATAAAAACAGAAAACGCTAGCTAAGCAATAAAACATTATCAGAAAAAGTCGCTCTTGCATGGAAATTCGACTTTCTCATTAGCTCGTACACAAACTTATGCACGCATTTCAAAAATAATGAAACATTTCGAAGAAAAATTTTCGCTGGCAAAGTTGTTCAGGATAGTCCTCTTCATACCCTGAGCGGGGCCCTTTTTTCATTTTAGCGGGAAAATTTCGGAACAAATGCAATTTACATAAATTTTAATTAAATTTAAAGCTAAAAATTTTCTATTTGTAATTTATTTCAAAATTTTTCCACTAAAATGAAAAAAGTGCTTCGCTTAGGGTATGAACAGGACTATCATGAACAATTTTGACAGCGAAAATTTTTCTTCAAATGCTTTGTTGTTTCTGAAATACGTGCATAAGTTTCAAAAAATTACTTTAAGGACTCAAACTGCACTATAATGAAAAACTTTACCTAGCAACAAAATTGCATTGACACTTACTAGTTAACCATTGCTGGAAAGCTTAGCATTTTGGATTTTCCTTTGTCTTTTGGCACTTTACATTGTCTATCCTTTCGGTATTTCTCAGAGTACAATAAGACTTTTCCAAAAATGCTTTTTCACGACCTTCTTTACACAACAACAGCGAAACCTTTAATGCACCACCTGTTAGCTGCTTTCTCCTAGACAACGGGCACACTAAAGTACATTAGTCGGCTCTTCAGAGTAAAAACCTGTAAGATAGAGGGAATGAGATAGGGATGACCCTTTTTCCTTTAATTGTGAAAATATAATTGAACTTTATTAAGGACCCCCCGTCAGAAATTTATCTCCGGTACGGTTTACGTACTTCAAAACGTGTTAGGCACAATGAGTTACTGGAATGAAACAATTTTTTGTCTCCAAGTCTTACGGTTTAGGAGTTTTCCAGAGATCAAGGTCCAAAAAGGGCGCCGAAGTGCATCCCAAGATTTTTTTAATATACTTCAAGCTGGAGAGTTTGGATTTGTTTTATTTTAAACTAGACACCGAACTACGTGGACTTACCGGCTCTGATTTTTCAATTAAGCCTTTATTGGTCCTGGCAACCAACAACTTTCAAAACTCGAAAAATCCTCAGTTTGATAAAAAACTAAGACCTAATTCAAAAATCAACGCCGGTCAGTCGATGTAGTTTCTTTTCCTCTTTTAAACAAAAAAAGAATGAACTCTCTACGACAAACCGCTATTAAAATGTTGAGACGCACTTCAGGTGTAACTCTTATATAGTGAAAACGCTGTATGAAATACTCGATTTTAGGACTTCTAAGAAAATGCCTGTAAGTTTTTGATGCAAGGTCATACAGAGTTGTGCGACATCTTATTTTGATCAGAAACGTTTGCTCTACAAAGCTGTGTGTTCAGAAAAATTTTAATTGCATAAGCCCTCTTAAACAAAAAAATACGACAAATGTTTCATTAACTTGCTAAAGGTTATTAAACGTATCTTCCCATAAATAATGTTAGATCACGATTCATCTCACGAATCATAAACAAGAACGGATGATCACATCTAAATTCAATTGGTTCTGGTCGATTAGATAGACGCTTTGCTTTTTTTCTCATAGAAATGCTTGTTGCTGCAGCTGCTTCTGAACCCGTTTCATTTACATCAATAAAGGCTTTATGAACAACTTGGGAAATGTATAATTCTTTTGTTGGTTCAATTCCACTGAAATCTGCATGTTGCCGATTAAATGCGTCTGTAATACCCAAATTCATGAGTACTGTATTCAGATCTAACCGACATTCCATTTTAAACTTCGGTAAATAAAAATTCAGCTCATGCTGACTTTTGTTTGATAATGCTTGTTTTAATAATTGTCCATCTAGCAATTTTTTTTCGATATTAATCAGTTTAACACCCCGTTTTGGTAGAATAACGGTGAATACAAATTGATGATTTGAATTTCTCTTACTGTTGTACGGGATGTGAGCGATTTGTGCTTGTAGCGTAGAATCATCACTGTACGCATACCTTCGTTTTTGATACATCAACGGGATCTTTGAGATGATTCCATTATCCGATGTGAAAGTACTATTTTGCATCGTATATTCCTTGTTAAATTTGTTGACCCAAGTACCCTTGAAATAGATGCAATTAATCAGAACTAATCGTTCATGGCGATCAACATCGTCAACGTTCAAAACATCTTTTATCAAATTATTTGTCACTTGCGCAACCCAATCGTTAATTTCACGAACCGCTGTGGCTTTATTTCGATCAAAATCCGTTAGTTTTATGTCGGCTGAGTAGAACTGTTTTAAACATGACAAATACTCATCGAGTAGTTGATAATCCTGTTGAATGTATAGCTGATTCGCTAGTTTTAATTTAACTGTGTTATCCTCATCAGCAGACTTGATAATTTGCATGACTTCTTCGACTGTCTGGTTTAATTCGTCGATCGATTTCGCTGCTCCAAATGAATATAAAATTTGATTCAGTGTGTTGTTACGTGCACCAACAGCACACATACTAATCCCGAATGCAATACTGGCTGGTGAGATAAAAATCTTTTCATCTGCGCGGTTGAAACTAGCAACGTTCTGATACAAGTTTACACCAAATTTTTCAAAGCCAGTAGATTCTTGTATTAAAGTAGCACAAGCCATATTTTACAGAATGTGTGATTGTCGTTCTCTTTTTATACTTCACACGCATATTTGCTTTGACTCATTATAGATGATTCATAAATGCTATAGTGAGATGAGAATGTCATAGGCAAAAGAACGAAAGAAGACATCGTCTTCTATTAGTACAAAATGAAGGCTACATCATAGATACAGATTTTGTAATCGACGATGCAGCGTACATCTTGTTTGCTAAAACGATCAGACCTTTTTACAGAAAATATGGGCATTATTGAGATACCCGTATTTTCTGTACCTTTGACGTTTGATACTTCTACAGATCGATCACACTCCTACAGAACCGGAAAATAACTATTGGTTAAAAAGTAGATTATTATGAACGCGAATAATAGATGTCTCTAGTACAATAAAGACTGACAGATCCAATTAAGAAGGATCAGTCAGGATTATGAAATGAAGCGAGACACGTTTTGTTCACAACTGAGCACCTAAAGAAATGATATAAATAGTAGTGATATAATGAAGGTAGAGCACAGTACACGCTTTAATTCGGTAAAAATGTCTATTTTTCCGTTGCCGCCTGTTGATAATCTGACATTATCTAAATAGAATCATATTACTGATGCGTTAACGATTGTATATAATTGTGTCAAACACTTGAATTAATACCGTATACCCAAGTCAAAGAACCCTATAATAGGATCCTATCAGGTCCCATTGTATCCTGACATAGGATCTTGTAGGATCTTATAGGATCCTACTAGGAGTGCGTAGGATCCTACTAGGAGTGCGTAGGATCCTACTAGGAGTGCGTAGGATCCTATAAGATCCTACAAGATTGGAAACTAGGAAATACAGAAACACATATGTAATCTGGATATTGGAAAAACCCGTAGGAATCCTACAACAGGATCCTGAAAGTTCCTATCGTTTCCTGTGTTAGGATTATGCAGGATTTAGTAGGATCTCACAAGATCCTATATGAGCTTACATAGGATTTTATAGGATCCTGTAGTAAGTGACAGGATCTTCTGGGAGCTTTGCCAGGCCATATTGATCCGGCTCCTATCGCTCATCAATTTCCTATTCTTGATTGCATATGTCGTTTTTGATAATATAGTTTTGTTTTTATTTTCTATACAATATTCTTCTTATTTCTAATAATTGACGTTTACAATAGTTTTTCGGCATTTGTTCGATCCATAGCAGCAGGATTCGTAGAAAATATAAATCTTCAAGTGTGTTTCCCAAGCTCGATCATATTTTAATTTTCTCTTTAGTCGCGTATTCCGTGAAGCATTTGAACATTTACTGTAGCTCACTTCAGATAAAGTTGGAGGTGATCGATATGGCTGGAATTTCAGTTGTTTGTGATAATGTTGAGTTTAATTTTATTAACCAACTACTTGAACTAAACGGCTCCGAATTACTTTCTGACATATTCTAAGATGAGACTAAATTGTTGTTAGATTCTTCGTTCCTCAGCGTTAATCTGGAAATAAACAGGAGAAATAATAAATCTTTAGGCAGTCTGTGCCCACTTAGTACCTAGGTGTAACACCTTTTCGTTCTCTGCTTTTATTTAGAAAAATACCTCTTGTTCACTCTCTATCGTTTCTCACTTTGTCAAAATAAGAAAAACGAAGAAGCAAATGAAGTATACAACATACATACAGGACGACTTTTTGACAGAAACGTTGAAACTTTACAAAACCATGAGTACAGCATTGTTGAAAAACAAGTACGAACTAATTTATTCTACCGACACATGAGCGCCACGATAAGGGGAGGGATCCCCTCCTTGCTTTTGAAAACATTTACTCCGAATTCAGGATTTTCTTACTCCGAAAATTAGGTCTTTGACTTACGAGAATATCTCACAGAGTAAAGCGTTTACTCGTATTTTCAGAGTGAGTCAACTACTCTCATTTTGAGAGTAAAAGGCTTACTCCCAGTTTCGAAGGTAGGAATTTACCCTCAAAAATATGATAATAATTACAGCTGTTTTGAACTTCATACCTTTATTTGTGATATTTCGACCTTTAACCGGTCATTTTCAAAACCATAAACAGAATAACTATACAAATGATGAAAACAACTACTATCTTCCTCTATTCTTACCACAAAATACAATAGAACGAAAAAGAGAAAATTCAAGACTAGACTGATACTAGCTTTATATATACGCATATATAAAAACAAAAAAACAATGACACATTATCCATGCAGTGATGTGTATGTATTTTTTTATTTTATTCTTTTATAACTGACTTTTTCTGGTGGTATGAGTCTTCCATCTCCAATTGTTTTCTTTTTCCCTACACCGTCTGGAAAAACTTAAAGAGGAACTGATCGATCTGTTCCATTTACCCTCTTTTCGAAAGTAAGATATTTAGTTCTATTTCCGGATTAAGACATAGACTTCCATTTTTAGAGTAAAGCATATGTTTTTTCTCTTTCTGGGTTTGGGAGAAAATAAAAAAGTTTCTATCATGTACATAAATAAGATAAGATAAATAGAATAAACTGTATCATGGCTTCAGTAAATGTATTTTTATATTATATGGTGTTAATAAGGTGCTTTTATATTATAAGACTTTGTGTTGAAGTAAATAGGGTTAGATAGAAGGCAATTCAGTCTTGCTTTAGAAGAAAACTGCTTATAATATTTATCTTTTTTTTTAGTTTTACCACTTCTTTTTAGTTTTGGTTAGCGCGACCATCTGAGTGTAAGTGTGGGTATGGAAGTGTGCGTCTGTCTATGTAAACTAGAATGTTTTTCTGTTTGTTCTTTGTGCATTTGGCTCGATAATAGCTAGCGTTACTAAACTTTTCATGGCATACCCCTTGGTCTAGATGAAAATTGAGACAGGATTGGTGCGACAGAGAAAGGTAAGAAGGGAGTTGGGTGAAATTCCGCTTAGGTTGTGAAAACCGAAAAGTTTCTAAGCCATATATATAAAGAAGAATGAATGTTTGTTAGTCTGTCCGTTCTTTATGCATTTGGTCCCTGTAAGACTTAGCGTCACCAAAATTTCCATGGCATACTCTTAGGGCGAGAGGAAGGTCAAGGCAAAGTCGGCGCGGCCAGGAAGAGTGGGATGAAGGAGTTGGGTGAAATTCTACCCAGTTTAAATATACTGTAATTTCGGTATCCGGAACTTTCGTCATAAAAAGGAACTTTCGTCATACACAAGAGTTTGGTATGAACTTTCGTCATAGGAGAATTCGATGACGAGAGTTCATTGGAACTTTCGTCATAAGAAATTTTTATGATGAAAGTTCATAGAAAATTCATAGGAATTTTTGTCATAAATTAATTAATTACTCTATATTATCAGTTAAGATACCATGTGGGATGTACCTGTCTTATAGGTATATACGCATCTTATAGGTATATACCCATCTTATAGGTATATACTCATCTCATCAACTGACAGATAAGAACGAGAGACAGCAGGATACTTGTACAAATAGACATATATGAATGTAAGAGACAGGGTGGAGAAGAATTAGACAGTTAACAATAGTCATTTCTGTATTCTCGTCAACACTATAACTAAAGCAGACTGTTTTGTACTTGATCTGTACGGTGAATTTAATTGTTGAACTCTGCATTTGCATAGGTATACACCTGTCACAGAGGTGCCTGTCAGTTAGGGATTTAACTGTAGGGTTGCAAATTTTTATTGAAATTTGCTGATGGTATTATCAGTTCACTCACCACCCTATACCTATAAGATGGGTATATACCTATAAGATGGGTATGTACCTATAAGATGGGTATATACCTATAAGATGGGTATATACCTATAAGACGAGTATATACCTATAAGACAGGTACATCCTACATGGTATCTTAACTGATAATATGGAGTAATTAATTAATTTATGACAAAAATTCCTATGAATTTTCTATGAACTTTCGTCATCAAAATTTCTTATGACGAAAGTTCCAATGAACTCTCGTCATCGAATTCTCGTATGACGAGAATGTGACGAAAGTACTCACGACTTTTTTGTGACGAGAGTTCCGGAATTCGTAATTTTCACCGATTTTGCAGAAATTCTGGAGAGTCTACTCGGACTTTAGACTATCTTCTTTCCGCTTACATCTCTCTGTACTGTCCCTGAAGCAGGAGCTACTAACTGATCGAAAGTTTCTACGTCCGGCATGCTATGTGACCTCATTATGGAAGTATCACAATATATCTCCTGTCCGAAAAGTCTCATCACGCAGTTATTCTGTCAATAAGTCGAGAACGAACGAAGGTAAAAAACTGAGATTTTCACGATTGCACACAAGAGATGATAGGATATGCAAGTACACTCAAACTTGGATGATCTATCTGTTGATCGATCGAATCCGAGCATAGTTTAATAGTCAGTAATATTCTTTTGGTCAAGTTTCAATATAAATGTTTCAAAACGAGAACAACGTTTTACAACAAGACTTTTCCCCTCTAAACTAATGTAGAAATGATTCAAATAGAGATAGGTAACGTAGTGCCGGAACCCAAGTTTCTTGCAAGGATTTGACCGGAACCGGAATCGGGACTAGTTTTTTTACCAGAATGGCAACCAATAGTTTTTGTTAGGAAAAATAATTTATACATTCTTCTAAGGTTTCTGTCGAATATCAAATTGTCACAACTCATGTGTCAAATTATTTTTCTAAAATACTGGAAAAATCATTAGGTAGAGATAGTCAACGTGCATCCAGGATTTGAAACGGGATCAAGTTTCTGTTTTGACCGGAGTGAGGATAGAACCAGAACAGTATCGGGATCGAGATAGAACCGCGATAGGACGGGGAGAGGATCAGGACCAAGGCCGGGATGGAATAGGGATAGAAGCAGGACTGAGATGAAGGTGAGATAGTACTAGACCCAGGATAGATTCACGACAAGATTATTTGACATTCTTATCTATTAATTATTAATCTCCCGTGTTCCAGAAAGATAATGAGTAGTAATAACAGTGCATCTCCGGGATCTCAAGGTACACTTCTCTAAACAAAA